TAATTCCAGAAAGGAGAATCCCAAAGGTTGAAAAGTTCAAATTTCTCTTAAATGCCTCCTTAATTAACCGTTAAACACTTTCTCACTTGATTAACCGCCCACTATCCACTCCACTTCCTATTAATTATCCAAATTACAGTTATTTAATCAATAACTGTTTAAAAATTTAAATATTTTGATTTAATCAAATCATTTACTTCCCTCCATTTCTATTGGATTCAAACCCGACCCGTCATCCTTCCAAATCGGGTCTGGGGGGCAAGTTGTTTGGGTCCAATTTATCTAATTGGGCCTAGTCATTTGTTTGGGTCCAATTATCTCATTGAGCCTGGTCATTAAATGATCCAATATTTCAAGGTCAAGGCCCAAGCCTCCAATCAAGCCAAGTCAGCCATGAGTCCTTTGGTCCGAATTGCTATGGTCAGCCCATGACTATTTAAGGGCCCAATTACTCTCCTCTCCTCATATGCAAAGGTATAAAAGCCTTCAATTCATTCATTTATAACATACACAAAAGCCTCAAGCATTAAATCTCTTGCATAGCTTCCTCTCTAAATACACTGTTTGACATCGGCATCGGAGGGGTCTTCCTCGGATCCACCCCCGAGGCCAGTTCACGTGTGTTTTGCTGTGCAGGAAGCCTTCGGCCCAGCATCCCTTGGACCGGACCAGTCTTCGTCCACTCCATCGGACCTTCGGCAAGGTCCCATTGTTTTCATCCGAAACACCTATTATTTAGAGTTAACCATGCCCTTAATTTACATATTTTTCTTAGGGTTTTTTTTGTTAAGTTCGGCGACAAAGCCGCCTGAATCGGTGTGTTGGAGTCGGGATTTGTTGCGGTGTTAGTGGTGTACTGGTGTTGAGGATGGTGTTTGTTTGTTGGTGGGGAACTGGGGACTAGGGATGAATCCACCATTATTGATGAGAAAAAGTATAAGGATGGCGATGGAAGGATGAAGATGGCGGAGATAACGAAAGAAAAACTCATGTCGTCTTATCACATGCTATTTTCTCACACAATCAGCAAAGGGATCCGCTACAATGTCTAGATAATTGTACAAATGCCATTTGAGAAATAAACCCAATATCTCAATTGAGAAACGGGGGCTTGCTCATTTATGCCACTTAATACAAAGTATATCAGTATATATGGATACAAAGATGTACGTACTAAGTGAAATATGCAAAAGTCAAATTCAAATAATTTATCAATATATGGATAAAAAAATGTATGTACTAAGGGTCTGTTCTCTTACGTTGAAATTTAGTTCAGTTCAGCTCAGTTCAGTTAAGTTCAGTTTAGTTCAGTTGTTCAGTTCAGCTCAGCTCAGCTCAGTTCAGTTCAGTTCAGCTCCTAATTTCCTTCTCTTATAAAATATTCATTTCAGTTCATCTCAGTTCAGTTCAGTTCAGCTCAATTCAGTTCAGTTCAGTTCAGCTGAGTTCAGTCAATGAGAACAGGCCCTAAGTGAAATATGCAAAAATCAAATTCAAATAATTTAAGAAAAAGCGTTCCATCTTTACTCTTATCAATATATCATTAATTCATCATTATATATTATAAGATTATAATTTCTACTATGACTTTTTAATATAATGATTTAAGTTGATATAGTTTGATTATGAACATGCAAAAAGACTTGCGTGAACTTGGTCCACAATAATATTTTTATGGACCCGAGGTTTATACACACGCACCTGACATTATATTGAACATAGTAACCTTTAATTTTTACATAGTAACCCTATTTTTAACATAGTAACCTTTACTAAAACTAGTATTTCCTCCGTTCTTTTATTATTGCACCACTTGCCTTTTTAGGAAGTTTTCACAAATATTGCACCATTTCCTCTTTAGGAAACAAATTATTTGTGTTCACACTACAAATACCCAACATACCCTTGCTTTTTCACACTTACTTTTTAGTTTATCAATATGTGACATGGGCAATTTTGTATTTTTACCTTTCTCTCTCTCACTTTTTTTCACTACCAAAATATTTGTACCAAACCCTTATGGTGCAATAATAAAAAAACGGAGGAAGTATAACGTTTAATATTATTGTGAAATTAAAGTATAACGTTATGACCCTAATTTTAACATAGTGACTTTTATTATTCATATTAACCGGTATATAAAATATTTTATTAAAAAAAAATTAACCTCTTATAGCCTATATATTACCAAAATGACTTTTATTTCAACATAGAGACCTTTTTTCTATTATAGTGACTCTTTTTTTAACTAATAAAACAACCATAGTTTTTCTGATGTTAGTGGTCCACAATGAATTAGTGTGAACCAGGTCCATTTAAGAATTTGTGATGAACATGAGTCGTATCACTCGTATGGATTGAGATAGAAATATTATTCTAAGTGACTAAATAAATGCTGATTATTTATTTACAAAAAATATTTTATTCAAAATATTACATATACTTCGTATAGGGTAGTTGAGATGTCCATAAATCTAATTACCGGAGAAGATTGACTTAAATATATAGCATTCTTAGCAATATTCTAGCCGGTAAGCTGGATCATTCACCTCACACACCCAAAGAATAAAAAGACCAATGAGAGTGATCTCTCTCGATTTTAGGATCGATTCTCACACTAGCCGGCCTTGTGGCTCTCTAAACTCTTAAAAAGAAGATTAATTATATAAATTACCTAGCTAGGGCCTAGGGGTTTTGCTATAGTTAGACTGTATCCCATTGGCTTTTTACTAATTTTTTTTTTGAATTTGAGTGACTATATGTTTTTGATTTATAATAATAAAAAAAATAACAACGGAATAATCTAATATATATAAATAAAGTAGGCATTTTTGGAGAGCATTGATAGCGCCACATGATTTATCATTTTTATTTGTTACAAAACTAAAAATAATCTTTAGATATTAGGATTTATATTATTTAAAAAACTAAAAAATTATATTTTGATATTTAAAAAATATAAATTATCATTTGATGTTAATGGTTTTATGTAAATATATGATAATATGATACTTTCATACAAAATTTTAAAACTTATAATGCAAGAAAAAAATTAAGAGATCACCAAAAAATATTTATATACAAAATGTATATAAAATTTGTGCATCTCACGCCACATAAGCAAAAGTAATATTTCGAGCAATGAAAAATTAGATTTATATATTAATTTAGAATTTTAATTTTCAGTTGCCATTTAAGAAAAAATTAACAAATGAAATTTGAGAATTGAAAACAAAAAAAAGTAATTTAAGATTTAAATTATGAAAAAAATAAAAATTATCTTTTATATTATATTTTAATTTAATGATTTTATCTAACTATCCGATGAATGAGAATATTTATTTCAATTTATAAAACTTAACAAAATATTTTACCTTAAATTAATGTTAAAATAATAGAATAGAAAATAAAAACAAAAATTAAGAAATTACAAAAAAAAATATACAAAATGAAATGTTTAAAAACCGTGCACCGCACGGGCTTACATCCAGTAATATTAATAATAATGATTTTTGTAAGGAAATATTAATAATAATACTATAAATACAAAAAGAAAAAAAAATAAATACAAATAATTATCTTTTTTTTTCAAATTAAATTAGGGTTTTAACAGTTAAAAAGAAGAATTAGTCAGTGAAGTAGCCGTATTCAAGGAAGAAATAGCTTCATTTTCTACAAAAATCAAGCTGACATAAAATCCCCTCCTCTTTAAACATATGGCCCTAAACTTCAGTGTTTTGTTACATCTCAACTATAATTACTCTAATTAATTGCATTTTTATTCACTCTTATTCCCTTGTTCTTGACTTATATATATACTTTAATACTCACTAATCGTTCAATTTAGTTCGATTAGAAAATTATTTATAGGAATTTTTTTAGGGTTTGGTGATGTCACCTATTTCTCAACATTGTGATCTTGTTAATTTTCCATTAAGAAAATATCTTCCATTAACAAAAACCTCACATTACTCCATATTACCCCAATGTAGTAGAGGAATTATGAATTTTCAACTCAAAAAGAGGTACGGAATAACTTTTATTTGTCATGTCTAATGATTCTTGATACATTTGTGTTCATCATATTCGTTACGAGTATATTGATGCTATATGTGTGTTACATTGTTACAAACTTACAGATGAAAGTAGGACAGAAAATTTTGATTCCTTTTAAACGTATTAATTATATTGATTAATTATTCAATTTTTGTTTTTGGGTATGTTTTGTAAATTTTTCAATTTTTGTTTTTTTGGTATGTTTTGTTGTTGTACAAGTAAAAGTAGGTAGTAGGTTATGAAATTGAACATGATTAACGTAGTGAAAATGACATATTTAAAAATGTTATTTAGTGTTTATTCTACTTTTCTATCGTGGTATAGTAGTATGTGTGAAGTTCAACGTATAATGTGTTGATTTGTTGACATAGGATTTGATATCTTTGAAGTAAATGTTTTAGCCATGTATGTTTTTTTTTTTTTTTTAATTTTTTTTTATTTGAATTTTCATTATATTTTTTGTTTTTTTTTTTTATAAGTTGTGCTTGTGTAAGTTACTTCTTAAATCAAATAATTTTACAATGTGACATCGACATAATGTCACTTTCATAATTTATTGTTTTCACCAATCTATCATCAAAATAATAAATCTAAATCTATCATCAAAAAGAATGTAATTTTCTAAATTTATTTGTATAAATGAATCTACATTTCGGAATCTACATTTTCAATCCAATAAGATGCACATTTATAAAATCAAACATTTACAATGGGGTAAATTTACTTCCTTCGTCTCTTAACATTCTTCTTGACGTAACTTTTTTTACGCGAAACAATTACAGTTCAATCTAATAATATTATAATAAGAACTTTTAAAGACGAAAGAACTACTAAATTTTAACGGGTCAATGATAATGAAAGGGGTAGTTGCAGCATAAAAGAAAGGAGGAATAATGGTAGCTGAAAGGTGGGCAGTTGCCACGTGCAACAGACCCCAAATTAATTGAGTCGTTAATGAAGAGAAGGCATTCTGCGCCTCAAACCAAACCAACCCCCTTCTTCCCCCCTAACTCTTCTTCAATTCAATCAATTTCTCCTATTTTTTATTTCTTATATTAATATTAATAAATAGTGCACAAAAAAAAAACCCAAAATATTACATTGTATTACTCACATTATATTATATGATCTTAGTTTTGATTCAAGAATATAAAGTCACCCAGATGCCAATTTAGTTTCCTAGTTATCGAACTTGGTTCATGTAGCCGACCCCATCTGTTGTAACACGGGTACGTTTTTTATAAACTCGAGTCGTTTTTGATTCGAGTTTGTTGGTTTAAATTTGGTAGTGTGTAGTTGAGCTAACTTGTATGAAGAAGAGTGTGAATTTACTAGAATAATGTGATTGATATTGGTGGCTGGCTTTAGTTGACTGACTTCATCTTACTTATATTTGTAGTCTAAATTATACAAGTACATCATTTGATTGACATACAATTTTTTTCTATGTTCAATTGTTGACTCTTGAATTTTACTTGACTTGTATAAATTTAAACTGGTATGATTCTATTTAAGTCAATTATATGAATATAAGCATTCATACAATTTCTCCTGCCTTTTGTTTAATTGGTATGTAATTTTTTAATTATTGTTTTTGTTGTTAATTTTCTTTGTTATTGTGGGATTTTATGATTACCCAGTTTTGCAGGTGAATTGTTGATAGTTGTAGTGAATGATCATATATTCATATGTTAAAAAGCTTAATTTAATTGAATTGATAGTTTGTTTCATGTTATACTAGGTTTTTGTATAGTTTGATTTGTATTTGGCAGGGAAAAAAAAAACAAAATTAAATTACACCGCGAATTTTGTGTAGTCCATGTATTAGATTAGATTGTATTTGTATGTAATAAGTGGGAGTTTTTGTATGTAATGGAAAAATGGGATGTTTATAAGCATTTTGATCAGTAATTGATGAGATTTTGTTATTGGTTTGATTACCAGTCGTAGGCGCAGTGGCCGGGTTTTTGGGCAATACCAAGAGGGGGGTGAACCTGTAAACAAGGAAGATAACAAGGAAGATCCGAGGATGGCGACATTATTGACAACAATTGCAAATAGAAATGGAAGAGTTGTACAGAGGAATTCTACAGATCCCATTGTGGATGAGTTTTGTTATGCTCTTGATGGAAAGAATCCAATTCATAGTATATTGATTGCAAACAATGGAATGGCAGCTGTCAAATTTATAAGAAGTGTCCGGACATGGGCTTACGAGACTTTTGGAACGGAGAAGGCTATAACATTAGTTGCTATGGCTACTCCAGAAGACATGAGAATTAACGCGGAGCATATTCGAATGGCTGACCAATTTGTTGAAGTCCCTGGTGGGACTAACAACAATAACTATGCCAATGTGCAGCTCATTGTAGAGGTACCGTGAATCTTGCTGTGATAGCATTGTTGTCCTTGGTTATTTTCCTATGTTATTGAGTTGATTATAAATCGATATTTAGCCAACATTTAAGAGAACTAGAAAATATTGACCATAGTCCATTTCGGTTCAGTTTACATGACAACTGCGTGTTTGTTGACGGTAAAATTTTGTGGGTGAGACTTAATGTATATATTTTTGTTCTCTTTTCTATTAGATGGCAGAAATGACACATGTTGATGCAGTTTGGCCTGGTTGGGGACACGCGTCTGAGATCCCTGAGTTGCCAGATGCACTTATGGAAAAGGGGATTATCTTTCTTGGACCCCCAGCAGTATCTATGGCTGCTCTTGGAGATAAAATTGGTTCATCATTGATTGCTCAATCTGCTGACGTTCCTACTCTTCCCTGGAGTGGTTCTCATGTATGCACAATTTTTTTCTTGTAGGCTTCACAATTCTGCTTACTTCTAGGAGTTTGCTAATCACATTATTTATGCATCTATCCTATAGGTGAGAGTTGCCAAACAGGAGTGCATAGTATCAATTCCTGAGGATGTATACAAGGCAGCCTGTGTTTTTACTACAGAGGAAGCAGTTGCTAGTTGTCAAGTGGTCAGTTATCCAGCTATGATTAAGGCTTCTTGGGGTGGCGGAGGGAAAGGAATAAGAAAGGTGCGTTAGATGTTAGGGATGATGTGGTCAAATAACCTTTTCCCAACATTACATAAACTCGTGGGTTTTGTTTTTTTTTTTTTTTTTTTAGGTTCACAATGATGATGAAGTAAGGGCATTGTTCAAGCAAGTGCAGGGTGAAGTTCCTGGCTCACCCATATTCATCATGAAGGTGGCTTCACAGGTTAGACTTCCTACAACAGTGATACAGTAATCTTGTATCAGGATGAGCTATACATACTTCTTTTCATGAAAATGGTTTTGTCTATATTCTTGTCTAAGAAGGCATTATTGATGCCTTGCAGAGTCGGCACTTAGAAGTACAGTTATTGTGTGATCACTATGGCAATGTCGCTGCATTACATAGTCGTGATTGCAGTGTTCAAAGGAGGCACCAGAAGGTTTGTCCTAACCCTCTAGTTGTTTGTCGATAAACTTTAAATCTTTAACTTTAACTTAGCGTGTCCCAAGTACAGCTTAAGCTTATCTAAAAGGACTTGTGTTCTTTTTGTAAAATATGTATATACATCATTGGAAAAACTTGGTTTTGAATATATCTGTCCTTATCAATTGATCAGATTATTGAGGAGGGCCCGATAACAGTAGCTCCGCCAGAAACAGTAAAGGAACTCGAGGAGGCAGCTAGAAGGTTGGCCAAAACTGTAGGTTATGTGGGAGCAGCAACTGTTGAATATTTGTACAGTATGGAAACTGGCGAGTTTTTCTTCCTTGAGCTGAATCCTCGACTACAGGTATGGAGCATCCTGAACTTCTCATTAGTAATTATGATATGAAATCATGAATTAAGAAAAAGAAATGTAGATATGATGAGGGCTAGCAGGATGCAAAATGACAACTGGATATCATCTGGCCTTATTTTTATTTTTTATGTTTCACAATGTCCTGTTTGCATGGCATGTTTATTTGAATTGCTTTGCCTTTTTTTTTTTTTAAATATATTTTTTTATTTCAGACAAATTAACACATATTCATTATTGTCTTTAAATTTATGTGAATCATGCCGTGTAAAGTTATATACAATTGCACCTTCATATTCAAAATTGTATATAGAATAATAGGCTATTATGTCTAGTATGAACTATCTATTCTACTTCTATGCTCCTTATTCATAGTTAAACGACTAAATTCTGTAGTTCTGATGAATTCAATTTCCTTTCTTGTATTCGCTCAACACAGGTGGAGCATCCTGTTACTGAGTGGATTGCTGAAATAAATCTTCCAGCTGCTCAGGTCGCTGTGGGCATGGGTATTCCTCTTTGGAAAATTCCTGGTAAATGACCTGCTCCTTACCCGTAATCTAACATATGTATTCTTTTGTACTTGTTTCTAAGCTGACTTGCTCGTGCAATATTAAAAAAAGAAATTAGGCGATTCTATGGGGTGGAACATGGTGGGGGTTATGATACTTGGAGAAATACTTCAATCGAGGCTAAGACTTTTGATATGGACAAGGCACAGTCTGTGAAGCCAAAAGGTCACTGTGTTGCTGTACGTGTGACAAGTGAGGACCCAGATGATGGGTTCAAGCCTACTAGCGGGAAAGTTCAGGTTAGATTATCCTGGTTTTTTGTTTCTTTTATTTTTTTTTATTATTATTATTATACTTTCCCAATCTGCTATTTTGCTTGCTTTGCAATAGTATTAAAGGTATCTAATAGCATGAATGTCTTCATTAGGAGCTGAGTTTCAAAAGTAAACCAAATGTGTGGGCCTACTTCTCTGTTAAGGTACCTTTTCTTCTCAAATTTTAATGTCATCCTTTTGCTTGGCTCATTTTTTGAGCGTGATGATGATCAAAATTTACCATTGCAGTCTGGAGGAGGCATCCATGAGTTTTCAGATTCTCAATTTGGTAAGTCAAAAGTCCAACTTATGACGCGGAGTACAACTTTTAATGTTCACCCAAATATACTTTGGATATAATAATGAGAAATTGAGGAGAATTTGATCTTCAATTGCCGTTTAATTGTGATGTGCTTTAAAAATGATGATACATTACATCTTAGGTTTCATATATATAACATATCTGTTGGATTAACACTTTGTGAAACAATCTAATAAACAATTGCTTTAGTGTATTCATTTATGGATTGAAGGAAATTCTAATATACTAGTTTTTTCATCACAACTGGGTAAGGGTATGTACTAAGCAACATGCAAGAAGTAGATAAGGTTCCTCATAATTTGACACAGTAGATAGTAGATATTTCATACATGTATTTGTCAGATTCAGATATATGCTATAATATGTATACTTGTAAAGCATGTTTGATGCAGTCGGCTCTTCTACTGAGTCTTTTTTATAATAAATAAAATCTCTCCTGGCTCTGATTATGTTGTGACTTGGTTGTAGTTTTCTTCGTTTCAAGGTAACTTGGTTTAGTTGACGAAGGTTAAATAATCAACTTCTTTGCAGGCCATGTCTTTGCATTTGGTGAATCGAGAGGCTTGGCCATAGCAAATATGGTTCTTGGCTTGAAAGAAATTCAAATCCGAGGAGAAATTCGCACTAATGTTGATTATACCATTGACCTTTTAAATGTGAGCCTTAATTTGAGATTTTATGTTATTTTCATTCCCAGTTTCCACCATCCATTAAAGCCACCAAAAGTCCAAAAGATGCGGAAGTTTTTACCCTTATATTTTTTCCTTCTCTCCAGTCTTCAGATTACAGAGATAACAAATTTCATACAGGTTGGTTGGATAGCAGAATTGCAATGAGGGTCAGAGCCGAAAGGCCACCCTGGTACATATCTGTTGTGGGAGGAGCACTCTATGTATGTACAACACATCAAATTGTTTATTTTGAAAAGCTTCATGGTTCATAGTCATTGGACTTGGCAATAACTAATCTTAATGATATTTCCCTTTCCCTGCTGTCTTTCTCCAGAAAGCTTCTGCTAGTAGTGCAGCCACCGTTTCCGAATATATCGGCTATCTTGAGAAGGGTCAAATTCCTCCAAAGGTACTTAATACACCAGAGAATGTCAAGGTTTACTTAATTTTTGGTATCATTGTTTCTTTCAGTATCTCAGACTAATTCTGCTGTGGGGATTGCAGCATATATCACTTGTCCACTCTGAAGTTGCTCTAAATATTGAGGGGAGCAAATACACTGTATGTTTCAGGCTATTTTCTACCTTCATGACAATTTTATTTTATAATTTTTGCACTATTGGACACTGTAATTTACCATAACATGGTTGCTGTTTCTCAGATTGAAATGGTGAGGGGTGGCCCAGGAAGCTACAGATTGAAATTGAATGAGTCTGAGATTGAGGCAGAAATACACACATTAAGAGATGGTGGTCTCTTGATGCAGGTAAGAGCTGCATCATTAATATATATGACTTCAGTAGTTAATCACAACCTTCTATCTAGTTTCAACGACAAAACAAACGGATGATAATCAAGTGAGAGAGTGAGAGACATTTAATTCAATCTATATTAGCTGAAAACTTATGTAATAAATTATCTGGTCATTTTTTAGGTTATCATCAGCCCCTTTCCTTTTTGGGTCAGCCCTATGCATCATGCTCATGATACTTTGCAATTTATAACATAAACTTGACACTTTTTTTAAGAAAGAATTGGATTCTTGTAGCTATACCATATAGCTTGTAAATTAATCATGCCAACACCAATGCCCTATCTTGTTTTAAGTAGACAATCTTGTCCATAAGGTTTACATTGCAAAGGTGCTGGCCTGGGAGGAGTTTCTTTTACTTTAAATGCTACATGCCTACACCCATTAATATGGAACAATTGCTGTTCAGCTCTATATGCTGATATAAATCTCTTGAATGTTTTTACCTTAAAATGTCACGCAGTTGGATGGGAACAGTCACGTAATATATGCTGAAGAAGAAGCAGCAGGAACTCGTCTTCTTATTGATGGAAGAACTTGTTTGCTTCAGGTACTCTCTCTCTCTCGCTCTCTCTCTGCATCTTAGCTCAAAATCTTTATCATATCTGGGCTGGTATTAACCTTTTTCCTTCTCTATATTAAGAATGATCATGATCCTTCAAAGTTAATCGCGGAGACACCTTGTAAGCTGATGCGGTATTTGGTACCAGATAATAGTCATGTAGATGCAGATACACCATTTGCCGAGGTTGAAGTTATGAAGATGTGTATGCCTTTGCTTTCCCCTGCATCTGGTGTAATACAGTTTCATATGTCGGAAGGTCAAGCTATGCAGGTGAGCATCATTTAAATCGTATATATAGTAAATAAGAAAATAATTTTAAAATGGGATTTATGTAAGTGCTTGTTGTGTAGGCTGGTGAGCTTATAGCAAGACTAGAGCTAGATGATCCTTCTGCTGTAAGGAAAGCTGAGCCTTTCCGTGGTAGCTTTCCTACCCTGGGACCTCCAACTGCCATATCAGGAAAAGTTCATCAGAGATGTGCTGCAAGTTTAAATGCAGTGCGGATGATTCTTGCAGGTTATGAACACAAGATAGATGAAGTAAGTATTCTGTTCATGATTTAATTTTCCTTGAACTTAATTACATAGTTTCATTACTGATTATGATTCCAATTCTTAATGAGATGGCCTCTGAAGGGGCTGTTGCAGGTCCTTAAAAAGTAATTTTCTGTGTTTGTTGCTTTCTTATGAGAAACCATTCTTACCTGTTTGTTACGTAATTTCTCAGGTCATCCAGAGCTTGCTGGTCTGCCTTGATAGTCCTGAACTTCCTTTCCTACAATGGCAAGAATGCTTATCTGTTCTGACAACCAGGCTTCCCAAAGATCTGAGAAATGAAGTGTGTTTCTACGTTCTACTTTTATCATCAAGCTTGAGAAATAATTGCATTCTGTATCTGTCTGCTATTCTTTTATATCTTTACTCATTCCCTTTCTTTTTATCTTTCAGTTGGAATCTAAGTATAGAGAATTTGAAGGAATCACCAATTCTCATAATGTTGAATTTCCTGCTAAGTTACTGAAAGGTGTTCTAGAGGTCAGCACCTCCCTTTGATTCCCTTCTGTAAATCATCACCCTGAGAGTTACTCATGTAAGTAGTATGAATTCTTCACAGGCCCATTTAAACTCATGCCCTGAGAAAGAGAGAGGCGCTCAAGAGCGGCTTATCGAGCCTTTAATGAGTCTTGTAAAGTCTTATGAAGGTGGAAGAGAGAGTCATGCTCGTGTTATTGTTCAGTCTCTATTTGAAGAGTATTTGTCCGTTGAAGAATTGTTCAGCGACAATATCCAGGTTTGTTGATCTGGTAGTGCATGTATACTAATTTTTTATACTAACGATTGAGTGCTTGGGTTTGGTGCCACACTGTGAATGGCTGATGATCATTATTCAATCGTGTGCTTATTTATTTTCAAACCTGTTCCCTGGTTTCTGTCACTATCACTCTATCAGTTGTGTTGGCATTCGATGAAGAAACAATTGATTTCTTTTTGCATAACAAAATGATAGAGCTTGTACTTAGATTAATGGTCTGTGGTAAATTATGTACACTGTGTCCAGCCTTAGCTAGTTTGTGACTTTGGTATTACTCTGTCCAGGCTGATGTCATTGAACGTCTCCGCCTTCATTATAAAAAGGATCTCTTGAAAATTGTGGATATCGTACTATCACATCAGGTACGCTGAAAACTTCAAAAAATGTGACTTTAGGTTTGTTGATTTGTTATATTTACTTTTAGTAGATTCTGCTCCAGACTTGTTCATCATATATCCCATATTTTATGATTTTCAGGGTGTTAAGAATAAAAATAAACTTGTCCTACGACTCATGGAACAACTAGTTTACCCAAATCCTGCTGCATACAGGGAGAAACTTATTCGTTTCTCACAACTGAACCATACAATGTATTCTGAGGTTGGTGATCCCCCAACTTGTGCTTATCTTGTCTCATTATGCGCAAATATATGTATTTTCTAATATACAGCGATGAGCTCTCAATTTTGTTTTGCCTTTTAATGATTTATGCTGCTGTGGTAGTTGAAGTCTCAAACAACTAATTCATAATCCTCCAATGATTGCAGTTGGCTCTCAAGGCTAGTCAATTGCTTGAACAAACCAAATTGAGTGAGCTTCGTTCTAACATTGCTAGAAACCTTTCTGAATTAGAAATGTTTACAGAAGATGGTGAAAACATGGATACTCCAAAAAGGAAATGTGCAATAAATGAGCGTATGGAAGCTCTTGTGAGTACTCCGCTTGCTGTTGAAGATGCCCTTGTGGGCTTATTTGATCACAGTGATCATACACTACAGAGGCGGGTTGTTGAAACCTATGTCCGGAGGCTTTATCAGGTAAATCCATAGTTCAATATTTTAAAGTCAACTACTATTTTACAATTGTAAATAATTTAACTCTATCTTTTCTTTCTTTCTTTTTTCCCGTTCTCTTTTCTCAGCCTTATCTCGTCAAGGGAAGTGTGAGGATGCAGTGGCATAGATCTGGCCTCATTGCTTCTTGGGAGTTCATGGAGGAGCACATTGAAAGAACAACCGTCTCTGATGATTTATCCTCTAACCAACCACTTGTTGAGAAACACAGTGAGAGAAAGTGGGGGGCCATGGTGGTTATTAAATCTCTGCAGTTTCTGCCATCGGTGATTACTGCTGCACTGAAAGAAACAACTCAGAATTCTGAAGAAACACTATCTAGTGTCTCTTTAGAACCAGGAAGCCATGGCAACATGTTGCACATTTCACTTGTGGGGGTGAATAACCAAATGAGCTTGTTGCAGGATAGGTAGAAAAACTCTATACTTACAGTTTGAAAAAGTGTTCTAATGTTATTGATGCACCATGCTTTAATTCCTTCATTTATGCACTGTACTTGACTCTTCTATCCCCTCTTGTTAGGAAATTTCCTAGTTTCAGTTCACTGAATATCTTGGGCTTGTGGTTGAGTGGATTTGCATGGATATTTTGTTTTTTTTTATATTAATAGCTTTTGAATTGTGTTATTTGTGCAGTGGTGATGAAGATCAGGCTCAAGAGAGAATTGATAAGTTGGCCAAAATTCTAAGAGATAAAGAAGTCAGTTCTAATCTCCGTGCTGTTGGTGTTGGGGTGGTTAGTTGCATTATACAGAGAGATGAAGGGAGAACCCCAATGAGGCATTCATTCTATTGGTCAGCAGAAAAGAATTACTACAGTGAGGAACCTTTACTACGTCATTTGGAACCTCCTCTATCTATATATCTTGAACTGGTATGAGGTGTTGAGTTGTCACTCTTATGCTCTTTGTTCTCTTACTCTTTTATTTCAATCTAGGTCTTACTAATATCTGCATAATGTTATACTACCTAAATGATATAATTGTGCCATTGTTGATTTCCTCTCATTTTAATCAATTCAGGACAAGCTTAAGGGCTATGAAAATATCAAATATACTCCATCTCGGGATCGCCAATGGCACCTGTATACCGTCATGGACAAGCCATCCATCCGGAGGATGTTTTTGAGAACGCTTGTGAGACAGCCCATCTCTGAGTTCTCAGGAGTCGAACTAGGAACACTTCGAATACAAAGGCCCATCTCTTTTACATCAAGAAGCATCCTGAGGTCTTTAACAACTGCAATGGAAGAGTTAGAACTTAATGCACACAATGTTTCCTTGAAACCTGATCATGCTCATATGTACCTCTACATAGTTAGAGAGCAACAAATACATGATCTTGTGCCATATCACAGGTATCTATTGCACCATTTCTCCTCCTTCGGATTTTGTAGTAATTGATGCAACTTACTCTTAAAGGAGAGCTATATCAACTATTTGTTTCCAGGGAGATGAACATCGACGACCAACATGAAGAGGCGGCTGTTCAGATCCTTTTGGAAGAGCTTGCTCGTGAAATTCACAGTTTGGCTGGTGTTAGAATGCATAGATTAAATGTTTGTGAATGGGAAGTGAAGCTTTGGATATCATCTTCTGGACAAGCCAATGGTTCTTGGAGAGTCGCCGTTACTAATGTGACTGGTCAGACCTGCTCTGTACAAGTAAGTTTTTCTAATTTATTATATATATATATATATATATATATATATATATATATATATATATATATATATAGGGGAGGGATCCGGTGAGAATAGGTTCATATGTGAGAATTCATACTTATATGAGAATTGGTTTTAAATTTAGAACATGTGAGTAAAAGTTTAGAACATACGAATAAAAATTTAGAACATCTGAGTAATAATTTAGAACATCTATGTGAGTAATATGTTTAGAACATTTGATTTAAGAATTAGAACAAGTGATTAAAAATTTATAAAATATGCTTTATGAAATTTTAAACATATGAGTAAAATTTAGAACATCTGATTTAAGATTATGAACATGTGAATAAAAATTTAGAACAAACTGATATAGAATATAGAAAGTGTGAGTAAAAAATTTAGAACATATGAGTAAAAAAATAGAACATACGCTTTAAAATCTGGAACATATAATTAAAAATCTTAGAACACACATTTTAAACTTTAGAACATATAAGTTAAAATTTTGGAACAAGTTATTTAAAATTTATGATATTAAACTTAACTAATTTATGGTTTAGAACATGTGAGTACTAAATTAGAATATTTGATTTAATTTAGAACACCTAAGGAAAAGTTTAAAACATACGAGTAAAAATTTAGAACATAAAGAGTGTTCTCACGAGAGCCTCCTCCTATATATATATATATATATATATATATATATATATATATATATATATTTATATATGTCTTTTCAAAGGTATAATCAGCATGAAGCCAAAATTTTCATTGCACTTTCCATGGAATTGCTAGTTGATGAAGGCAGCAAATTTTGAGCACTAATTCTTGGCAAATCAATATTTTATTTTGTGCAATGAAATGTATACTTGAAATTTGTTGTCTGAGGGTGCTTTAGAGACCGTACAAAATGTTAATAAAATTTGTGACAGTTTTGAATATGTGCTTTTTTAAAAATCTTAAAGTGCAGAATGTACCGACCCCACTTATGGGATTAAGGCTTTGCTTGATTGATTGGATTGATTGAAAGTGCAGAATGAGCAGTATAGCTCAGTGGCTGTGTACTTATTCTGTCCATAAAAATCTATTTGTATTGCTTTCGTGACGTCCAAAAAAATAATATTTGCCAGTTACTTAAAAAGGAAGCTTCTCACTCAACCTGTGTAATGTGGACACCCCACTCATATACTCTCCTCCATCTGCTGTATTCCATTTTTATCTCTCCACCGTCTACCAAAATCCTTCCACCTGCTAAATCCTTTTATATGCATGCTTTAACTGCCAAACCTAACGCAAAGAAATTTATGGACAGAGAATAAATTGTTACCTGAAGTTGAATTCATTTCTTAGAATCTACTTCCCCGAACAATGCTGCCAATATGTGCTTTTATCACTTTAACTTAAATTATGGCAATTGTGCTGAACTTTTGTACTTCAAAGTTAAGCCAAAGTTAAGTTATATATTATCTGCTTTGACCAATATTAGATAAACATTAATGTAACCAGTTGTTTTACAATAAAAACATATTACTCGAATATGGTTGGTATGTGTAGAATTCCAAAATTACAGTAGCATGTTTCCAAGTCTAATTAGTGCTTGCTTCTATATTGGTGCTGATCATGAAAAATAATTAGTTTTCTTACATTTTCTGGTTGAATACAATATTACCATGTATTTCATGAATAGTCTTGAATTTAATGAATGTTATTGCATCAATGATGTCCAGGTTTACCGCGAGTTGGAGGATAACAGCCTACATGAAATGGTCTACCATTCTGTGTCTGCTCATGGTCCCCTTCATGGAGTACCTGTGAATGCATTCTATGAACCGCTAGGGGGTATCGCCCGCAAACGACTTCAGGCCATGAAAAGCAGCACAACTTATTGCTATGATTTCCCATTGGTATGGAATTTCAATTTTCCATCACTTTGATCCCCTCCCTCCTAAAACCTGTTCTTGACCATTTCTTAATTCTTTTTGATCAAAATGCAAGTCTCAGAGAGCTGTATGACTTGTATCAAATTAATTACCAGGCTACCATAGCTCATGGCAGCACTCATTTATTTTTTTGTTGCATGTTAATGGACTTACATTATTTGTGCTATTGTTTTCAGGCTTTCTTGACTGCCTTAGAGCAATCATGGGCATCTCAAGCACCAGACGGGAAAAAACCTTCTGACAAAGTACTTTTAAAAGCAACAGAGCTAGTTTTTGCTGATCCAAAAGGAACCTGGGGAACTCCTGTTGTTCCGAAGGAACGCAACTCTGGTCTTAATGATGTTGGTATGGTGGCCTGGAGCTTGGAAATGTCAACTCCTGAATTCCCCGATGGAAGGACAATATTGGTTGTAGCAAATGATATTACCTTCAGGGCTGGATCTTTCGGACCGAGAGAAGATGCTTTCTTCCTTGCAGTCACAGATCTTGCTTGTGCTAAGAAACTTCCTCTGATTTATTTGGCTGCTAATTCAGGGGCTCGACTTGGTGTTGCTGACGAGGTAAAAAGCTGCTTTAAAGTTGGTTGGTCTGATGAGTCAAACCCTGAGCGTGGGTTCCAGTATGTCTACTTAACTCCTGAAGATTATGCTCGTATAGGGTCATCAGTTATAGCCCATGAGTTAAAACTTAAAGATGGTGAAACTCGATGGGTTATTGACACTGTTGTAGGTAATGAGGACGGACTAGGTGTTGAGAACTTGTCAGGAAGTGGAGCTATAGCTAGTGCCTACTCACGGGCTTACAAGGAAACCTTTACTCTAACTTTTGTTACGAGCAGAACAGTTGGTATTGGTGCCTATCTTGCTCGCCTTGGGATGCGTTGTATACAGAGGCTTGATCAGCCCATAATTCTTACTGGCTTTTCTGCATTAAATAAACTACTTGGGCGGGAGGTTTACAGTTCACAAATGCAACTTGGTGGTCCAAAGATTATGGGCACTAACGGAGTAGTGCATCTCACAGTTTCTGATGATCTTGAAGGCATATCAGCTATTGTGAAGTGGCTCAGCTATGTTCCAGCCTATTTAGGTGGTGAACTTCCGATATCGCGCTCTTTAGATCCTCCAGAAAGGCAGGTTGAGTATCTGCCTGAAAACTCCTGTGATCCTCGTGGTGCTATATCTGGTATACTTGATGCTAAAGGTAAATGGCTTGGTGGAATTTTCGACAAAGATAGTTTTGTTGAAACTTTAGAAGGGTGGGCAAGAACAGTTGTCACAGGAAGGGCCAAACTTGGAGGGATTCCAGTTGGCATAGTTGCTGTTGAGACACAGACTGTTATGCAAATTATCCCAGCAGATCCTGGTCAACTCGATTCTCATGAGAGAGTGGTACCACAAGCAGGGCAAGTATGGTTTCCAGATTCTGCTACCAAGACAGCACAAGCCTTGTTGGATTTCAACCGGGAAGAACTTCCCCTTTTCATTTTAGCTAACTGGAGAGGCTTCTCAGGTGGGCAAAGAGACCTGTTCGAAGGGATCCTTCAGGCTGGATCTACAATTGTTGAAAACCTTAGGACTTACAATCAACCTGTTTTCGTTTATATCCCCATGATGGGAGAGCTTCGTGGAGGGGCATGGGTTGTTGTGGATAGTCGAATTAATTCAGACCATATTGAAATGTATGCTGACCGAACAGCTAAAGGAAATGTACTTGAGCCTGAAGGAATGATTGAGATCAAGTTTAGAACCAACGAATTGATTGAGTGTATGGGAAGGCTCGACCAACAACTTATTGGTCTCAAGGGAAAACTTATTGAAGCCAAGGATTCCAATTCTTATGCTGATATCGAACTTTTCCAACAGCAAATCACAGCTCGAGAGAAACAACTGTTGCCTGTTTATACTCAGATAGCCACGAAGTTTGCTGAATTGCATGATACTTCACTAAGGATGGCTGCAAAAGGAGTTGTTAAGGAAGTGTTAGATTGGAAAATGTCCCGTTCATTCTTCTATAAGAGATTATACAGAAGAGTAATGGAGGAATCACTTATCAAGTCTGTACGAACTGCAGCAGGTGAAGGGTTGCCCCATAAATCTGCCATTGAATTGATCAAAAAATGGTTCTCTGAGTCTCATAATACTTCTAGAGACGATATCAATGCTTGGGATGATGATGAGGCTTTCTTTAAGTGGAAGAATGATTCTGCTAACTATGAAGAAAAGCTTACAGAGTTGCGTGTGCAGAAGGTTTTGCTTCAGTTGTCAAATATCAGCAACTCGGCTTCAGACCTGAAAGCTTTGCCTCAAGGTCTTGCTGCCCTACTTCAAAAGGTACGGCAAATTCTTTTCAATATTTATTTTTTACATTTGATATCAGAATGTAAGAGTAACATTTTCATTTTGAATTTTAGGTGGATTCATCGAGTCGAGCACAACTTGTAGATGAACTCCGGAAAGTGCTTACTTGATTTGGTAGCTCGGTTTCTTCTAGGTTGAAGACGATAAATTAGTTTTGCTGTTGTCAAATCTGAAATTTTATGAGGCATGCAACCGATACAGTCACGTCATTTGTGTCTGTTGATTGTTGTACTGTATCGATTTATGAAACTGTAAATATAGGAGATTTCTTAATTCAATTAGGCAATTCATTGTGACTCATGGTTGTCCCATTCTGTATTGATCTTTGGTATAATTTATTGACAGTTGATCATTAATAATGCGAGATGTTCAAATACTTCCATTGAAGATTAAGTTATAGTCTCTTGACTTTTGGCACAACTACTCCGTATTTTTTCTCTCCAATTTGTAATTGTCACTTCATTTTGTATTAGACCAAATAAAAAATAAAAAATCTAACAAATCCAGTCAATCTATATTTTCTACTCCGTATGTTAAACGTGATTTCATTGTTTTAAAAGGAGAACTAGTTTTAGGCCCCGGCGATGCCCCGGGTTATTTTTTGTATATAAAAAAATTATAATAAATTAAAGTGAAATTTATTGGTGGTTTTATAATTTTAAAAAATAATTTTTTTTGGTAAATATTATTAAACATTATCAAAATTCATTAAGAAATATGCAGTAACCTAACTTTTGTACTTCATATTAGTTTGTTTTATTTGTTAAAATAATTTTTATCTATCATTAAAAATTTCTTCAAAGTAAACACTTGTTGTGGTTTTGAAATTGCTATGTATTTTTGTGTTACATATTTTAAATATATAAAACCTATATGAATTATGGATCGGTAAATTAAAGAATGAGATTATATTGAAGTATATAATTCGTATATAAGTTCAATTAAAAATTTAGAATTTATGAACATAAATTTGTGTGACGAAACATTGACGATCGTGTTTAATATAACATGAATCCACGTTATTTATCAAACGACACGTGACAAGAATAACAACACATGGCATGATTACAATTCTTGCCATGACTTTTAATATATATATATATATATATATATATATATAGTGCACATTAAAGTTTTAAATTTCTCAAAATTAAAGTTTTAAAAGGAGAATTAAACTTTCCATGACATGAATTATTAATGCAGACTTAATATATTTCTCAATTGATTTTCATAACCAATACATTACAGATTTAATTGACTAAATAGCCTGCTTTGGTTGTTAAAGGTGTCTGGGAAAGCCTTTGGACACCAATGGGGTTGCCGGTTTGGGCAGCTACTGCAAAGTCTGCAAGGGACTGCAACCAACTCAGACTCTAAACAATAAACCATTGAGTCAATCTACATTCTATAAGCAGTGATGTGCCACATTGTTTTTTTTGGTGTTACATCCAGTTCACCCTTTTTCCTCCCAATCGTTGTTGCGAGGGATCGAACACGCAGCCCTCCCTACCAAGTGTAGCCCCAATCACCACTACGCCAACAACCAATTGGTAGTGTTGTGCCACATTGTAACATAACACAACCTATAGAAAATTAATGCAATCAGGCATCCTTTCTTTTACACTCAGATTCCAAGTTGGTATTTGGACAGAAATCAGGACCTCTGATTTCAACTCTGGTATAGGAGACGAGATCGTGAGACAGATATATAGCCAATGAGGCGATGGTTAGACATCACTATGCATCTACAGTGATCCCCCATTTTAATCATTTTACTATAGCAATCACTTGGCAAATGCTCCCCCATTTTAACATCCAACAATCATGTGATCGATAAAATTCTCACATAAAATAATCATGATTCAAACTGTGAACTTTAAATTACAAGGTGACTCAACTAGGGACTAGGGTACATCTCACTACCAGTAACTAAATAACTGAACCAAAATTTGCTTCCTGCTCATGTTGAACATTCTGTCCTTCATCAACCAGATATATTACGCTTGTTTATCGCTTTCGTTCTGCCCGCCACTTGTACACTGGCCTATCAGTGGGACAAACAATCTCATCTTCCCGAAGCTTGCGTTTCCTACCCTTTTTCTGCATCAATACAAATAAATTTTAACTTACAGAAACAGAGCCTCACTATATATATTACCCCATGGACCTTTTCTTTATCTTAGGAGTTAGGAGATGATTACTTAAATCCCTGAAATATAGAATGTGTTCATATGGCGCCTAGGCCCAACAAATATTTGCGATGGACCACATTTTAAATCAGACTATATAATTTCAATAAGGCATTAATTTCTACAATCAACAGAAGATCTAGTAAGTACTGATTTAGTCATAATAAGCAAATGCCAAGAAATAAGCAAAAACCACACTTCATAATAGAACAGCCCAGTAAAGTATCAACTGACTATAAATTAGAAATTTGTTTTATACGGGCATGGTCGGCATCTCCATTCAAAAGTCCTGTACTGTTAGGGCTCTGGAATTAACGTGTCAAGGACATTTATCTGAACAGTTTTGGCTTCAACTTTGATTGCTATACTTTAGTGATATCATAAACATAATCAATGGGCATGTATTTTTAATGTTTATTTTAAAGTGGATTGGTACCTGTAGCTCTTTCTGCAAGGCCATCTCTGCATATACTCTCTCCAAATTTCCAACTCTTTTCATTCTTGCCTCTAACTCTTTGTAGGAAGCATTCATCTTCCTGCCAGAAAACGAAGAAGAATAAGACATTACACTAAACAGTAAACACTAGCCCCTGGGGTAAATAGGCAAAGGGACAAGCCAGAAAGGAAACAGGGGCAAACTCAAAGAGAAAGGTGGAGTGGAAAATAGGGAAAAAAATTATAACTCTATTGGAAAGGAAGACACAAAATATCAACAGATTTAAAAAGGGGAGAGGCAACATGCACTTTTTGTTGAGCAAAATCTAAGCTATTATGTCAGTTTCAGTCATTAAATCCCTCAAAATTGTGCAAAATAAAACTAAGTGCCCCATAATTAATTTTTTTAACAGATAGAGTATATCCTTTTTGCATCAGTGAAAATTAATATACCAAGGAAAGACTAAACTGCCAAAAGATTTTACAAAAAACAATATTGCAAAATTAATGAGTTATTACTTCTTGATTGCAGAAGGCACCGGCGCTGATGCATGAAGCTCTTCATTGTTTGATGATCTTGATAGTATCTCATTCGCCTCTTCACTGTTTAAAAAAAAGTTTCCAGATATCTTAAGTTAGAACTTGACTTTTGTCACTTGGGGAGAAACCAAGGAAAGCGTAAAAGGATTTCAATCCACAAACACCTAAACATTTGGTGTATAGAAGAGGGAAAACAATGGAAGAAAATACAAAATGAGAAATAGGGAAAAGAGAGGAGGGGAGGCGAGTTTCCACTATTCCCTGACCGCAATGAATGAAACACAAACCTGTCTTCTGCAAAGTAAACGTGCTTGCTCGAGGGCCGATTATCTAAAGAATGTAGCACAGCTTGACGCTTTTCAATTTTCTGTAAAGAAGACAAAGTGTCAACATATATACGACAAAATAAAAAAAAAAAAAAAAAAAAAACAGCAGACATTTGTATCTCTTTCACTACAAAATACGTAAACTATCCAAAATACAATCCTAGAAGTACCTTCTTTTCACTTTGAATTTTCTGAAGAACATATCCTAAGTCTTGTGTCTTCATCAACAAAAGTTCTTCTGGCGTATACTTGTTAGCCTCACTCCTAAGGTTACATAAAAACACAAAATAATGAGAAAAACAAGCATTCAAGAAACGAGTGATGCTTAATTTATAACCATCATGAATGTTATGTTTCTGGAAGTTTGATCGGAAGAGTATCAAAGATTATGAACAAAACATTCATAATGGTCATTAACGCATTTCCCAAAACAAGAACATATATCTTACTCGGGTCTATGAACTCCATTCCTTGTACTAGTATTAATCATTTTAAAATAAAATTCATCCGGGTTCCTATTCGCCGCCTTTTCTTTGAGTCTCTGGAAAAACAAAAGTGTATCCAATTCAGAATTCATCAATAGCGTGATAGCAGTTGAACCAGTAAGATAACAAAACATAAAAATTTACCCGTAACATATCCTCCTTCTTGTGGAATTCTCTCGCACGAACAACATAGTCCTTGTGCTTTTCGAGTAACCCAAACTTCTTCCTTGAAGCCCTGAATTCACAACAAAATATTTGCTCAACTACACACAAAAATACTACCTCCGTTTCATATTATTTGCAACGATTAGACATTTGTCTAATCGTTGCAAATAATATGAAAATTTGTCTAATCGTTGCAAATAATATGAAACGGAGGTATTATCAAATATTTGCAGCTGTGTAAAATAGAGAGGAAGACTCACGGTTGCGATCGCTCCTTGTACTCCCTTTTAGATATTGCATTTCTTATAGAAGACATGTTGATAACTTGTGCAATATATCTAAAAATAAAAACAAAAAACCCTTAATTTGTCTAAATATCAAAACATTTCATATTCAATAAACAAACAAATTTGAATAAATTCATAGTTGAATCAGGCCCATCCCTATGCCCAGGGAAAAGAGATTTAATTTCATATTGAATTATCTCGAAAAATACATAATTTTAGGGATATTTGATTCAATAATCTCATAATTTTCTTTTCTTTTGGATATCATGTTTCATAATCTAAGAATTTACGAACCCTAAACTGAAAGCACTGATAATTAAATTAAAATATAAACCCTAGATTGTGAAATTGATATGATGATAAGAACAACAAACAACTTACCTTAGAAGCTGCTTCAATGAGGGATACAAGAATTAGATTCAACGAAGAACGCTTCAATGGAGAACGTTGAGTAAGCTTCAATGAAATAACTCAGAGAGGAAGGAAGTAGGAATGAAGGCCTTTAAAAGCCATGACCCGCTATAGTTATAAGACCCGTCTGATAAATAAATGAAGCGGGTCGTTATATCGATCAATAATAACATAATCAAAAAATTATGCATGCCCCCAGTTTACAATACTAAAAAAAATATATTCCGTACGTGCCATTTATTGTTGTTGTTTTTTTAAAAAAAATTCATAAAAACGAAGCAAAAAATTGAGAGCAATGGAGGAGAGAGAAACTGAGAAAACGCAGAGAGAAAACGAAAAATTGATTACTTTAGGGATTCGATCATCAATGGAGGATTCATTGGCAAACTTCAATTCATCAAATTGCAGTAATTTGATCCACAATTTTCTACAACAACAGAGGCAAATTCAAACACCATTCCACAATAATAGAAGATGAAACAGAGAATTTTGTAAATGATAACATAGAAACTACTCAAATTGATGATGAACACAGAGAAGCGCCATTAATGAATGAGGATAGAGAAAGTATAAGCACGAATCAGGACACTAAAGGTAATCAAATTGACAATGCAGAAGGAAATCAAGTGGTTCATCGTAAGTCAATTGATTCAAATTCAGCACAAACATCCAAATCAAATGGAACTGAAGGTAATTTCGGTACAATCAACCTTCTAATTGGAATGAAAATAAGTTTTGAAGTTAATGTGCTGAAATTTGTTACTCTTTGTGTGCACGAATGTTACCCTTTTTATGCATAAAGGTGACCCTTTGTACGTACACACAAATGTTACCCTTTTATAAACTCACATGTTACCTTTTTGTTATAAAACGTACAATCAACCTTGTAATAATTATGCAAATGTGACCCTTTTATGCATAAAGGTGACCCATATAAAACATAGTATTTCTCTAAACATAATGATATGTTGCTGCTGCTTATCTGATATGACAGTGTTAAATCACAGATGCAAATCCAATTGATGCTTCTGGTTTAGATCTTAGAGGATCATTTGTTGTTGTGGCAAGACAAACTTTTGAAGAAATCTTGGAATTTCATGAAAAGCATGCTGCTATACTCGGCTTTTCAATAAGAAAACATACAACTAGATACATCACACACACAAAGATAGTAAGTGAAAAATATTATGTGTGTTCTGCTGAAGGAAAGAGAAATTCAGGTGACAAGAAAACAAAATTGGTTGAAATGATTGATGAAGAGAATGTAAATGTGAAAGCAAAGACAAGTAGCCATCACACGATCTGATTGTAAGGCAAGCATTAGAGCAAAACTTAATAAAGAAGGACAGCTTGAGGTGGTGTCACATGTAATACACCATAGTCATGAGCTAACAAGGTCACAGTGGCATTATCTGCATCGTTCTGAAAGAAAAATGACAGAAGAAAAAGCTGAAGCAATCAAAACAATGAAATCTTCAGGTTTGACTACAATGGAAAATTACAATTACATGGCTACTGAAGTTGGAGGAGAACAGAATATAGGGCACAGTGTTGTAATTCACCTAAATTTAGAAGACGAAGAAGAAGGAAGGTCATTCTTTTTGTTTTTCTAAGTGTTATTATTGTTACTACAAGCAGTCTTTATTAGCCCGTCCTCGATATTGATGCCAATGTCGTATACAGCTTCGAAAGTGTTCAGTGGAAGAAATTTAAGATGTTCCCTATACTTGTGAGTCAAATTTTGGATGAAGAGGCAAACCATCTCTCTTTCTTTGGGAGGATCTACCTCGAGTGAAGCCGTTTCCCTCCACCTGTTCAGATAAGCGGTGAAGCCTTCATTCTCTTTCTACTTGAGAATGGAGAGTTTACGTTCAGAAGTTTTGGTGTGAATGTTATACTTGTAATGATTCATCAAACTGTCGATGACATCTTGCCAAGTCGCAATACACTTGGCATCTAGGGAATAAAACCATTGCTGGCAAGTGTAGACACCTAAAAAGGTCTCCCCGAAACCAAACCCGATGATGAACAATTTGTCACCGCCATTATTGGTCGGGTTCAGTATTTAATCCCGAGAGTGCTTAAAAAAACGTATTAATTAAATTCAGTTTTTATTAGTCCATGGATCAGTCTTGATGTTTAGTCAAAGCATAGTTTATTTTTAATTTTGGCCCAAACCTTTTTATTTATTTTTCATTATTATTATTTTAGCCCAATTAATAAATAATAAATCAGAAATGGCCCGAAATTATCAATCGGCACTTAAAAAGGCTGAATGAAAATAGGGCAAAAATGTATGTAGACGAAAAAATGGACGCAGTATCTGCCGCGTCACGGCAAAATGTACCGCGTCACGGGGCTCACTGCCGCGCCACGGTGTGATTTCACGTGACACGGTGCCAGTGTTGTGACACGGTGCCAGTGTTGTGACACTGGACACTCCCGTGTCTTTTTCGCTTAATCCCTTCACGCGTTTTTCCTCCCGTAGGTCAGATATTTCCCGTGTCACACAAAAATATCCCGCGTCACACAAATGTTCACCGTGTCACGGCAATTTTTGCCCTGTCGCAGCAGTGTTTTTAGGGTTTTTATCCAATTTAGGGTTCCATGTGTTCCCTCTACTCATTTTCCCTATAAATTCCCCCTCATTTATGATGTACGGGGCATCAAGTAACTCTCTTTTTTCTTTCTTCTATGCTCTAGCCTAAACACTAGCCTACCCTTCTTCTTTCAAAATTCCTTCCTTAAGCACTCTAAGGAGTTCGTACTTTACTCGAGGTTCTGTCCTTAAACCAAGGCGTGAAAGGTAGAACTGTTTGAGGGTTTGGCCCCAAATCAACTCTATTTAATTTAATTTAATTGTTGTTTATTATTTTTCTTGAAATTACTAACTCGTTTATTGTTTTATAGTTGCAAGCAAAAAAATAAAAGTAAGAATTATGTTCCTTTTTGTAGGGAATATTTCAAGCATTACCCCAAACTTGAACCCCACTGTGATCATACACATACATAAGCATGGTGGCGTCCAAAGGGAAGGAAGCTAGAGCAAAAGAGTCGCCAACAAGTTTTAGGAACTTGTAAACCGTTCACAGGGTGAAGGTTACACCCCTTAACGATCTAAGAGATCGTTAACTCCAATAGGTTTGGAACCAAGACTGGAAGTTCAGGGATGAAGGTACAAATCCAATCTAAAAGAGAAATAGCCTGCCCTAATAATAGGCCTCTACTTTATTCTTCTCGTATTCATGTGCGCTTTCTGACTAACATGCAATCAATAGGTTAACCCTAAACCTATTTAATCTATGTTGGTTGAATATTAATGCACAAATAAAACTATTATTGGCAATCACTTAAATTATAATCAAATTAACCCTAAACAAGATTATTAATTACCTTATTAAGCGTGATTACAAGTACAAATTCCCTTTAAACATGCATAAAAGGTGTGATCAAGCAATAACAATAAATATCAAACAACATAATAATAATCAAAGCAATAATAATAATCATAATTAAAATAATCATGTTAAAGCATAATAATAGCAAGATCCTAGGCATGATACTAACAAGATTAATAACAAATCCTAGCATGTCAATAAGTAATAAAGATCAAAGCTTTAACCCTAACATGATACTTACATGCTATTTAGGGGGGAGGGGGGGGGAGGAAGCATCACAACAATCATACTTGATATTAGGAATTTTTAGTTAATATCCTAAACATGATACTAGGAAAAGCATCCTAACATGATACTAGGAATCAAAATAACAATCTAAGCATGATTTCTATATCAAAATATCAGATCAATTAAACAATTAAAGAACTTACTTGGATGCCTCATATCTCTTTCTAATAACAAAATACACACGTTAGTAACTTCAAGGAAAATAATAAAATAGAGAATTAAATTAAATAATTGAAATAGAGATTAGGGAACAAACCCTCAGAAATATCAAACCTTTCACATCTAGGGCGAAGGCAACTTCGAATTATGCTAGGTGTGTCTAGTGCTAATATATGAGGAATTTTGTTTGTAAAAGGGTAGACTTAGAAAGAGAGAGAGAGAATAAGCTTTAGTTTAGAGAGAGAAGAGAATTAGAGAATTCTGGTTGAGAGTTGATGATAAAAAACGGAGGTCTAAGGACGCTATTTATAATGAAAATAGCCCGAATATGATAGGAGTTTGCAAAGGAATAAAACACGCCTTTGTCGCCGCAACTGCCTTTGTCGCCGCGCGACAGGTCTGTCGCTAGGCGACAACTTGGCGTTCGGCGCTGTAAGCAATTTTCCACAAGTTTTCTATTTTTTTGATAAAATTAAGCGTAAAAGTCCGTACGAGGGGTAAAGTCGTAATTTCATTTAAAATACTTCTTTTATTCCAAATAAAACTCATAAAACTTAATTATCAATTCTAATCACATTAGGATTCAAAAGAACCTTATAGAAGATTCTAGAAGACTATAATCAATCCTAATTGCATTAGGAATGATAATTCATAATAGGCCCTCCTCTAGATCATTGAGCCGCATATAAAGATCAAACCGGGCCCAATTTAGTAATTTGGCCACAACTTCCTCATTATTCATCGGAATTGGGCTTATTATATATTGTTGGAAAGCTCTTTTCGAGCCCTATCCAACTGCACTATTATTGGACCCTTGTCATAGACCAAACTAAACTGGATCGGCTATTTTTCATAAAATAGGTTTTCGAAAACAGAGAGAAAGAAGAGAATTTTAATTAAAACTAACCGCAACACTAGACTTTCCACACTTTCACTTCATTTGATCATGATTCGACGTGAAAGGTATTCATCACCGGGTATGGTTTTGGGGAGATACAAATGGGTGTCTACAGAAGCCCCCACTTTGACTGAGTTTGGGGAAACGCAAGTTTCGAAAACAAAAGTCAAAGTATCGATAGGGACGGAGAATGATTCAGAACGTTCTGCGATCCTAAATCACTCTTGTTACGCCGATACCTGCAAACTAGCGTTAGTTAAAATAGATAAGAGAGTTAAGAAACGCGTATCTTGCATCGTCGAGCACACGTTTCTGAAGGTAACCGATTTGTTGCATTGTTGTCGTGACAACCTTCCACAAGTTAGGGAACGCTATCTTGTTGTTTTGA